CTTTTCAATGCAGAGAGTTTATGAGTGCGTGTTTTGAAATCGAATAAATTTGACTTCGAGTGTGTAATGAGTGTCACTTTCCATGTTAATAATGCTGCACGATGAAGTTTAGAAACAATTTAAAATTTCCCTGTTCCTCTTTGGCTTCCAAAAGTAATCAACTTCTTTTAAAAAAATCGTGTCAGTTGATTGACCCTTTTTTCGCCTGAAAAGTTTTGATTTTCTCGTCGTGATCGAGATTCAAAATTTGATTCATCGAGTTTGAGATTTTCAGGACAAATGGAAATTTTACACAATTATTCTGCAGAAACGAGGTTTTTCAGTGTTCCGTACAGTATTTGCTTGTTTCGTATATTTTCTGGCAGTCCAAGCAGTGAAATGAAAAAAAAAATTATGGAAATTGAATATTGAACTGAAACTTGCTGGAAAAGCCCACGATGGTCTTGCAAAATACAGTACTGTAAATGTAGCCAATTCCGAGTACAGTAAATTTTTCTGAATTTGCGCACTGCGACTAAAATTCGTGAGAAAGAAATTTCCGATGTCAGGTTTGCATTTGGAAATACTGTACAGTAAGAAAGATTCTCTTTGAAAAATGACTTCCAATTATTTGCATCATTACCGAATTTGTTTGAGAAGATTTCAAGCCAAAGAACAATCCATTTTAATGCTACAGCACTGTACTTGTAAACCATCTTTCTGGCTTGAAACGACAACAGGGCACAATTTTCCCGATCGCGGGCCTTCGCAAGAACTTGATTGCGTTTCAAGAAAAATGTATGAAAATGCTCTTGATCTGAATGGATTGATTGATGGATGGATGGATGAATGAATGACTGACTGACTGACCAGTCTTTGGGGGTAGGTTTCATGTCCGGGAAAGTCGGCGACCTCGGTCGTCATCCCAAAACGTGTACCTGTGTTTTTTTTTACCCGGCGTAAAAATAAAGCGTGGGCGCGCACGCGTGCTCAAGAGAGTCCAGAACCCGCGGCAACGAGAGAACCATGTCGTGTTCGGGAAGGACAAAAACTCGAAGGAAAGAAAGAAAAATAAATCATTATAGAACAAAGAATGGAAAAAGAAAAAAAAGGAACCAACCTTAGACCCGGATTGCGGAGAGCGTAATTTATTAACGTCCTTCGTGGCTCCCCGTGAGCAAGAATAACAATCGCGTTCTGAATACGCGGATGGAGATTCGTTTTTCTCGCCCCGCGGCGTGACTCTATATACTGTACTGTACTGTAAGCATTCGAAACAAGAAAAGGAAAAAAAATACCTTTTTAAGCGCGGACTTTTTACTCTTTTTTCTTTTTCTTTGTTGACGACGTGCATGTACTTTCCGCGGAGTGCAGGCACTTAAGCAGCAAAGAGGACACATATCCTGTGTGGTGGTGCACCCGCAGGCACGACTTTCTCGCGCGAAATATTGGCGGAATTCGATCACAGGGCAAGAAGAAAAACGAACCCGGAGAGTGTCTTGAAAATTCTATCGAGAAATGAATATGATTAATCAGATGCTGAATTTTTTAAAGCATCTCTCTGGAGACGATTTCGATTGACAAAAAAAATTCTGGAGAGGGAAAATATCTGAAATCATCTCTTTGCGTATGTTTCGTTGGCATTTTTTTCATGATGCGAAAATCTATGGGAGAATAACGTGTTTACGGGAATATTTTGCACAGTTTTCTCGACTTCCTGTTAATTTTTTTTTTCGATTATATTCGGCGTGTAAAAAAGTTTGTGCGTAATTTAATCTTACGATGAGTTGAAGGGTGTGATCTGAATATACTGCAGAAAAATCGACGATTTCGATTTCAATTCCGAATGACATTGCAGTGCAATGGGGAAATATTTCGACATTCTGAAATTGGTGCAATTTTTTACGGGAGAGTTTCTGGAATATCCTGTAACAATCGATGGCGAGCAAAAAATTCTTCTTCGTGTTCATTTATAGAAAGAAAGAGAAAAAAATCAAGGCAGCTTCAGCGCCTGAAAAATGAGAAAAAAGAAAAAGAAACAACTGCTGCACGTACATGAAAGGCGCCTCACGTCCGTGAATTCGTCGTTTCTCCTGTGTATAGGACACACCACCACGTGGGCGTCCGTGCTGAACCTCGCGCGAAATATTGGCGGAATTCGATCACAGGGCAAAAAGAAAAACGAACCCGGAGAGTGTCTTAAAAATTCTATCGAGAAATGAATATGATTAATCAGATACTGAATTTGTTTTAAAGCATCTCTCTGAAGACGATTTCGATTGACAAAAAAAAATCTGAAGAGGGAAAATGTCTGAAATCATCTCTTAGCGTATGATTCGTTGACATGTTTTTCATGATGCGAAAATCTATGGGAGAATAACGTGTTTACGGGAATATTTTGCACAGTTTTCTCGACTCCTGTTAATTTTTTTTTCGATTATATTTGGCGTGTAAAAAAGTTTGTGCGTAATTTAATCTTACGATGAGTTGAAGGGTGTGATCTGAATGTACTGCAGAAAAATCGTCGATTTCATTTCCGAATTACATTGCAGTGCAATGGGGAAATACTGTATTTCGTGTAAGACTTTAACCACGTTAAAAAATGCCCTCTCAAAGACCTTATAGGACATTGTTAGCTACCGCTCGTTTTTTAAGAAGAAGCACAAGTAAATATCTTTCTTTCTCTTTTTTTAGTTCCGTCGAAGTTTAAAAAATTCCATGGTGTCTTACATATTCGCGAGAATGATCATCTTTTTTTGTTGTTGTTCGTCCTTGGCCACGAAAGCGTCATTCAAACGCATCTAATCCTCGGTGTCCCACCAAGAAACAGAATACTTGGCTTTACAAAAGCCCCGCTTTGATTCCTTTTGATGTGCTTGAGAAGCAAGGACGAAACTTGGTGACCTGGAGAGAAAACTCCGAGTAAATCCTCACCAGCAAGAAAACGCCCATTTGACGTGTTCTCATTTCTTCCGTGTGTGCCGTTATTCCACGGGTTACAAAATGAAATATTCTGCACAACGGTTATGGAAAAGGTCTCTGGGGAAACAGTGCGAAAATTTTTGCGCGTTTCCGGTCTCCGCCTCGTTTTTCTTTCTTTCTTTCTTTCTTTCTTTCTCAAAAAAGGGATTCTTGTTTGAGAAGGTGGAAAAAAAAGGGGAGAACGTGATCGTGAGGGTCTTTTTTGGCAAGCCCAAGGCCGTTGGCGAAATATATTTTTTTTGCGTGCGAAACTCTTTTTCTTTGTTGCACACGCACCGAAAGCATTCCGACGTGGGGTTCGTCCCTCGGGGGGCTATCGTGGGATCGAGGTCTTTTGCTGGGTTCTTCTTTTCATTCACGGGTTCCAGGTATTGTTGGGTTCCACCTGGGTAAAGGAGGATGAGATCGATGGTCGCTCGCGATTTCTGCGTCGCGAGAAAAGAAAAAAGCAAAAGTAAAAATTCCGCGATGAACATCTCGATTGGCACGCGCTGAAAACGAGATCTGGCTGGGTTGGATGTTCATTTTCGTGCTCTTTTCGTTTTGAGGAGTTGACAGTTTTCCGGTTTTACAATTAAAAAAGTGTTTTGAATTGACTAGTGAGTCGCGGTTTTTTCTCCCAAACAACTTTTTCGAGTGAAAGAAACGCATCAGATAATTGTCTTCAGATCGAATCTTTTCATGAAATTAAGAGCGAAAATCATCTCTCTGGAATATGAGAGTCTAAAAGAAAAAAAAAACGGATGAAAGTCAAGTTCTGGTTTTCATCACCGTTACAGTAATTTTCAAAATCCCGGGTTTTCTGTGGCTAATCGTTTACTTTTACGCGCTCTATTGTGACTTGAATATATTTTACGGTCGATTCATCGTCTCATACTGTGCTTCCATTTTGTTCGACAGTGTAAGACGCTAAGTGTGACACCCACCGACACTTCGAGAGATTGCATTCGAGCAGCATTGGAGCACCTGGAGATGGGCACGATCGACGCGTCGCATTTTCAGTTGTGGGTGCGGACTGGACACGACGACTCTCCTTATCCTCTTATTGGTGAGTTATGAAGTTTAAAAATCCATCTGTTGTCAAATACTGCGCAGTTTGCCAAATTTGTCGACTTTGCACTTGTGCGTAGTTGGAAATATTACGAACGAGAATCGACTGAACTTGAGCAATTGAAAAATAAAACAATAAAATTGGCGAGTCTTGGCGCAAGAAACGAGAAGTCGAATGATCGCAGAATTACAATGCGAATTTGACACTGAAGCTTTTCTCGTCGGATTTGAAATTTAAATCACGATCAAAAGCTTTTCGCTGTTCGCTTGTTGAGAATTTTCTTCACTTGAAGTCCTGATTTTTATGATAATTATAGAGACAGAAATTGACTTGATCATAATTTTTCTTCATACGTTGGAACATCGTTGGGTCAGTAAGATTTCTCAATTAATGCATTCCGAGTACTGCCTGAAAATTCATGGAATTTAATTTCCGCGCAGTTTTGAGATGAAATTGCAAATTTCAACCCAGATGAGCGGAAATTGCAGCAGTGATTAGGAAATCATCGAATAACGAATTGTGTTAATTGCTTCCATCGTATCTTAATGAAAACTACTGAACGAGAAGAAGCACAGGATTGACGCGATTCATTGAATAATTCTCGAGCTACAGTATTTGAACACTTTGGAATAGACTTTTTTGAATTGTGCGTGATCCGTATTTGAATTTGAAAATCCGCAGGCCACGAATACCCCTTCGCAATCAAGATGAACTGTTTGCGAGATTATTTGGCATCGTGTGATAACGAGAACGTGGACCTGAATGCTGTGTCGAATATGATGGACTCCAGCTGCAATTTCTACAACTGTGACAACTCGTCGCGGTGTCAGTTCATCCTCAGGTCAGTTCTGCAGATTTATTGCAAATAATTTTTCTTTTTTTTTTTACTAAATGTTTTTTCGATGATATGCCATCGCAGGAATCTGAGGAAGGAGTCTGTGTATTCTGTGGACAGCAAGAAGGCGAAGAAGTCTGTGAATTCCACGAGTCACAAGTCGCCGATTCGGATACACAAGATGTTTAGGCGGTCGCTGACGAAGCTGGATTCGACGGACGGCGCCGGTCCCGCGAGTGCCATGGCGCCGTTTCCCGGCGGCCTTCTCTTTGGCCAGCCCCTGGCCAAGTTGTGCGAGACGGAAACTGTTCCGAGGCCCGTCATGGTACGCATTTTTCTCCTCTGTTGACAAAGTGTGATACCAATGATTGGAAAGAAAGATTCTTTTTCCGAGGATATTTCTGGGATGGAATTCGAATTACTGTACGCAGTAGTTGATGGAATCTATTTTATTTTATTAATTTTTTGAGAGAGAGCTATAGAGATTTTCGTGCTCGGCCTCACTTTCTCTCCGAAACTGTTCTCGGAAGAATAAGTACTGTACTGAAAAGTACGTGGGCGTGCATAAAACAGAGCTAATGAAGGCTGCTGACTCGGGAGGTCATTAACGAGTACCCTTCTCTCTTTTTTATTATTTTTTCAGCCCAGAGGTCATTGCTTTTTTTTAAAGTTATTTTTTCTCTTTTTTTGCGCAGGAAATGTTGCAGCAGTTGTTTCTGAAAGGCCCGTATACCCACGGGATTTTCCGCAAGTCGGCCAATGCGAGGCAAGTGCGGGAACTGAGGGAGCAGTTGGACACGAACCCGGACGGGATCGATTGGGAACAGGTGCCAATTCTGACGGTTTCTGCACTGCTGAAGGACTTTTTGCGATCCTTGCCCGATTGCCTGCTGGGTTCTAATCTGTTCCACGAGTGGCTGGCAGTTTCCCAGACTGCGAATGCCAAGGACAAAATCGCGCACATTCAAGGGTATGTTGTTCTATTTTTTTCTTTCTAATATTTACAATGAAATTCAAAGGAACCAAAAAATGAGAATTAAGTTTTAGAGAATGCCTGTAACATGGGAACGTAATCCTATTGGACAAACAGCAACAAAAAGATCGTTGTACAGTACAGCAAAAATAGTTTTAAGCAAAATAGATTTATGGAGAGTCCAGTATGTTCAGTATTTTGTTTCAAGAATCTCATTTGCCAATTTAAGCATATTTGGATTATTTCAAAGATTGGTGCCAAATTTGGCTTTGAAGCATGCGTTTTTGAAAAGTCTTGAATATTGCCGAAGCATTTAAATTATGAAGATAATAAATTCTCCTGTGGAACCAAAAGGTAAACCTTGACTGACGCTTGTATAATTGATATTCTGAGAAAGACGTTTGGCGCGTTTGGGATGGAAATGCTAATTATCCTCTCCTTTTTTTTATGATTCAGGTTGTTCTCCAAGCTGCCCAAGGAGAACGTGACGCTGCTGCAGCACTTCCTCTGCGTGCTGCACCACATTGCCCGCAGGTCCGCCCAGAACCAAATGTCCGCCTCCAACCTGGCCGTGTGCGTTGGCCCGAGTCTCCTGTGGCCCGCCAACGCCATGCAGTCCAACGGCTCGCCGCTGGCCGGCTCTGGCAACGCTGTTGCCGCGGCCCTGGCCATGGGACCCGAAACCTCCCGCCTCGTGCCGTCCCTGGTGGAGCTGATGATCGACCGCTGCGCCGAGTTGTTTGGCCACGAGACGCTGCAGTTGTTTGGCGAGGCGCCGTTGGGCGGCAGTCGGCAGGACTCTGGCGCCGAGGAGTCGGACAGTCTGCATTCGGGCCAGGGCGACTCGCTGGAGCGGGAGTTGATGGGCGAGGAGCCGAGTCCGTTGCCGCGCAAGGACAAGATGAGCTTGACGAATTTGAGTCGGGATTCGGGACTGACCATGTCGGACACGCAGTTGTACACCCCGGACGAGGAGGAGAATGAGAGCACGAGTTCGGGCCACTCTGGCGGCGAGAAGAGCACCTACAGCAGTGGGCACGGGTCGGAGAAGAGCGGCTCAGAGCCCATTAGGTTAATTAATATTGATAATTATCATCATCAATTCACTGAATGGCCGCCTCTTCATTCAACTGCTGCTGGGTCGGGACTTGATTCATTACGAAGGGGTGGTTTTTTTTTTAGTGTCTCCAGCATAATTTAATTTCATTAATTTAAACATCTGTTTCAACGATGATTTCATCCTGAAGAAATATTTTCCAGTAGTGCTGTGCTGAAATATGTATGGGCTAATTCTTTAAGAATGCTGTGATGTAACAAAGAGCTTGTAATTGTATTGAATCTTGAAGGGATCAAAAACTACCATGTAATTGTTCACAGGGACAGCTGAAATTTACAATACCACATGCCCTCAAGTAAGACATGCACCCCAATTTATCATTCTAAAATGTTGATAAAGTCCTATCCCCAAATAAAGTGTAAGAACCATATTCACTGATTGAAAAACTGGAATACTTTGAAAATAAGAGGACACCAGAATGTAAATTTGTACATGAACTAGATTAATTTAAATTGTTTTGATGTAAAAAAAAGTTCTGGACGAAAACTTCCGATTATATTCAAGTGTGATGCACACCTGAACTTCCAACATTTTCATTAAATTTTATCCCAACCTACAACGTAAACCCCCTTTTTTCTTAATTAGGAGAAAAAATCGGCATGTGGTACTAGGTTAAATATGGTAATTTTGCTTTATGCAAACACCATGGAGTAAAATCAATCTGATTTTTCATATGTGCAAAAGGTCACTACCAGCAACATCTATCCAAGTGAAAGCAGTTGTTTTGTTGGCTGCTGTTGCAGAATAGCAGGAAAAAAAGGAAATTGAATGAGCATAAAATTCACTGGATATACGTAATGTGATGCTTCCTGCCCTAAAACAGCTTCTTTGAATGTGTTCCCCCAGGTACCATCATCCACCGGGTAACCCCAGCGCCCTCTATGCCTCAGTAACCCGGAAACCCGCTGCCAGACAACCGAGCCAACGACAGCAGCAGCAGCAACAACAACAACAACAGCCATTGCAACAAACACCACACCCTCAACACCAGCAGGCTGCAGCAGCTGTTGGAGCAGCAGCAGCAGGAGGAGGAGCAATGGCACCCCCGCAGAGTGCAGTAGATGCAGCCGAGTATGCTGTCCCGCATCTCGACTTGCACCACCACAAGCTCACTGTGAGCTACTCCAGCCCCAACTGTGATACGCCAGACGGCTACTACGAGGACGCCAAGGCGTCCGCCTACAACAACCCCTACTTCCAGCGCACCGACTGGACTCGGAAACACGCGGGACTGCGGAAAGTTGGCAGGGCAGAACAGCAACAACAACAGCAGCAGCTGCATCAGTCGCCACATCCGCAGCACCAACACCAACAACACCTCTTGGGGTTGCCGAGTCGGGGATCCCCGCTGAGGAGATCCGCTTCTGAAGAAAGCCTGCTGGACAAGCTGAGGGCAGACTCGCCCAGCAAACGGCCGGCCATGCATCGGAAGGGCAGGGCTCCTCCTCCTCCTAGTCACGAAGGTCACTTGTTGTGAAGTTTTAATTGAATATACAGTACAGCTGAACCTCTCTTCAGTCAAATTTCAAGAGGCTATAGGTTAGGCTATAAAAAAAAAGATTTCGACTTGGGGAGGAACAAGCATTTTTGTTGTGGGAAAAATTTCTCAAAATTTGTAAATGGTGGTATTCTGGGCCTTAAATTGCTTTTTAAAGGATATTATGGCATGCTGAACTTGGAGGCTGGGGTTTGTCAGCCAATTAGTATATCGCTTCCTTTCAAAATGCATCGAGTTCCTTTTTTATTGCTTTTCTCTTTCCTGTGTCAAGAGAGTAATAGCCAAAAGGCCTCAGGAAATTCGACTTATGGAGTTTTGAGAAGAAAAGCTTTCAACTTAGGGAGGTTTTTGAGGGAATTGAGAATGGGACTTAAAAAAAGTTTGACTTAAGAGGGATTGAGTTATAAAGGTTCAGCTGTACTTGTACAGTATCAAACACAGTTGAGTTTTGTGACAATGAAGCATTTGGAACCTTACAAAACAAGCTTCTTCAAAATCAAAATTAAAATAAAATTGTGGTTATTGGACAGCTGGAGCAGATAACAAATTTGTTTCAACCATATTCTGCTGTATTATCTGTTCTCCAACCCGGAATGTCATTTATGATCCTCAATTTGTTTTCAACGTTTCCCCTGAGATGCACATTTGACAATGTTTTTTCTTTCACATTTTTTTAGGCGGTGGGAACAAGGGGACAGCGGCAAGGTTCAGTCCGCACATTGCAATGCAGCACCGGATCGTGATTGAAAACACAACCACGGCAGCCCCGATGCACCGGTCGAGGTCTGCGCACCATTTGGGAGCTGATGAGGAGATTGAGTCTGCTCACTGTTCCGCTACCAAACTCTCTGGTGAGTCATCAATTTCACATTGTACCAACATCACTTTCCTGAAATTTCCAAGAGCATTCAAGAAAATATCTTACAACTGCTGCTTTGTGGATAAGCAACATTTTAAATTTACTACATGATGATGATAAGGAAAAACCTGAAGTATAGCTGGAGTCACACCCATGTCACAGGTTGCTAAACATTTATCAGGTCCGCTAAAAAAATGAAACTTTCTGATATCTAAAATGAAGAAAAAATAAAACCAAATTTTTTTCCTGAAAAAACCGGTTGGGCTCTTCACAATAGCGGGACACTGTAACCACCTCTTGAGATCGACACAGACCTTTAAAAAACGTCTTTTAACTTTTACAAAAAATCTTTATTTTTTGGCCCAGAATCTTGAAACATCATGATTTTTCCTTTTTAAATCACACCCTCTTGAGAAATATCTGAGTCCACTTTCAACTGGGACAACCCTCATAATTATAAAATAAATTATTACAGTACCCTCAAGAAATTTTGAATACGCATCTCAATGTCGTCTGTTTGTAGATCGGGTTGAAAATGTTGATGGCGTGACACGCAAACTTATTTAGTTCTTGTTGACAAGTCCCTTATTGTTTGATGAATAATTTAAAAGTGTCGTCCTTTAGACTAACTTAACACTTATTAAACGTCCGGTATACCTGAGCAGCGTTCCGTCGGACGCTGCTTACGGTCGGGTAGTCCTGAGTACGCTGAGGTCGTGCGACAGGCTACTGCTGAGTTGTGGCCACGTGTCTCGCTCCAACTCACGAGGCAAGGAGTTCACGACGTCGCCGTCTTCCTCGACATCCTCGTCGTCGTGTGTGCAAATGGCGGCGCATTTGGGCGGTGCCATCATGTGCGGTGGCAAGACGGGCAAGGCGGAAGTGAACATCAACCGGACCGGAAGCACGAGCACAGTCAAGTCGACCGACAGTTCCTCCACCCTCACCAACGGCAGTGTGTGCTCCAATGGATCGTCTGCGTGTCGGCCGCCGTCGTACGAGGAGACTCTGACCAGGCGCACTGCAAGGATGAATTCCCCTGCCAAGTCTGGCGACCCTCAAATGGTAAAAAAAAGGAAAATGAATCAATGAATGTATTCCTTGCGAAATAAAAATTCATTTTGAATTATTCCAACTCTACACGTAAACTTTAGCAATTTCACCATGGCTGTCGTACTGCATCAGCTATTTCTTTATTATTTTCAAATGACCGCAATTCATATGAAATTGTACTGAACAACAATTCTGCAATGAACTTACTGTGAGGTATTGGCTAAATTAACAAAGGGCAGGATTTATTTTAGAAAAGATCTGACGATTAAATACAAAATGGGTAAAGATTTTTCGCTGAAATTATTTTTCATTTTGCTGATGCTCAAGAACCAGAGACAAGTTTTCATAGGGTTGCTTGAGAGCAAAGTTTTAATTGACCTTTTTTTGGCTTCCATTCATGAACTTTTTCTCAAAGAGTCTTTCGAGGTCACTTTCAATTTTTAGGATAATGCAGGTCATTTTAGGAAGAAAATAATTGCTTTCATACTAATTTCAACTTGACCTTCCCAAAATTATGACAGTTTCTCAACTGCTTTGCTGAATATTAATTTTTATTCCATCTTTCAGGTGCGAGGCGGCCAGCAACAAGGCGGCAAAAGGAGCTCAAAGGCGGAGCAACTGTACCACGAGTCCTGGAGAATCCAACCTGATGATGGGTCTGCAAACAACGAATTCGTATACGCGTGTGCAGCTCGGGTAGAGCCACTGATGTTTGATGAGGCTGCAGCAGCCGCTGCTGCTGCTTCTGCATCATCATCAGCTGCAGCAGCAGCAGCACCACCTCCGCCACTTCCTCCCAAGCAAAAGGTGGCGCGGCGACCAGTCAGCTACGGCGCTGTTATGGCGGAACCTGAGCCGATTTATGCACCTGTGCCACTGGCGCGCAGAAAGGCGCATTCGGGCAGTGTGTCAGCATCGGCATCTCCAAGTCGTGGCGGCAGCAGTAGTAATGGCGCCGGTGTGATGGCCAAGAGACATTCGGTGGAGACGCAGACGGAGCTTCTACCGAATAAGACAGTGGCTGCGGCGTTTGCAGCACGGCGGCATTCCGAAACCCCGACCAGAGGCTTTCTCAGGGACCAGGTGTCGAAGCCGCAACAAGAAAAGTGCGTGCCAAATTAAGCGGAAGAATTCCGCCCTATGAAGTCGACTTACAAATTCATCATTTGCACTTTGGTGTTCAGCACTGTAATCATAATCAACTTGAATATTGGCCTCACCCTAGCTTTTTGAGATAAATAATTTGGGCAAAAGGACAGTACTACCCAAAGGCTTTCTAAGTGATTTTGCAAATATCTGTGTTGAAGGTAGTGTCAGTCAGTGGGGGTTCTTGGCAGATTTCTGATGAAAATAATCGTGGAAATCTCAGCAAAAATTGATGAAGGATCAATAACAAAGAATAAACTTGTCTGCAAATATTCAGCATATTCACAGATTCTTCCCACAAGTCTGCATTTTAAGTTGCTCAAATCACTAGTACACTGTAGTATGATGCCTTTTTCATGTCTTTGTTTTACATTGACTGCTATCTTATTTGCACTGGAATATGTTTTCACGTGTTATTTTAATACTTGTAGGTACGTGTCGAGTGTGAGGATAGGAGAGAGTCCACCGACTACATTTTCTCCGGACCCGAGCAGCAAGCGTCGTCCGACATGCAGTAGTCCATTGCAGCCGTTGTCACAGAGCCCGACGTCAGATGACGCCTCTTTCCGCGGCAGAATGAAACGGAAGGAGGCCAATGTCAACAGCTCGTCTACTGCATCCACAGGCTCTTCTCCATCTCCCTCTTCGGGTTAGTTATTTACCCAAGGTATTCTAGCCCATGAAGTGCTGTATTTAATTTTTCGTTCATTTTTAGGATATGGCCCGAGGAAATCAGCAGGAGGAGTGAGAGCTGTGCTGCACGCCAGAGCAGCAGCGGCGGCAGCAGCTGCAGCAGCCGCCCAACAACACCAGACGAGCAATAGTAACCCCAGTCGATCCAAGTCATTGCCGCCGCCGTCGGACGAACGCGGCGGCAGCAGCGGTGGTGGTGGTGGTGGCGGCAGTAGTCGAGCGTCATCCATGTCCATGTACCGCGACTTGTCCGATACAGAGCCTGGCGACACTTCCACTTCCGAACTGGACGAAAATCGATCTTGGACAGTGGACAGTGACTCTTCAGACTACGTTGACCCAAGTTTGAGGAAGGAGATCAGTTGGAGTGTGTCGCAGTTGAGAGCGCTGTTTGGGGGAGCCAACTCGGTGCCTACTGGGGAATGGCGTGGTGCCTCGTCTGCGGGCGCCAGTCCTGCGAGTGGGAGCAGCAGTGGCGTCCCTCCACCCTACCGTCACCCTCCTGCTTCTCGCAGCTATTATGAAGTCAAAGGTGAATTTTTCATCTCTCTCTTAAGACCCCCTGAGGCTTATCCAAATGACGTGGGCTTGATTTTTCTAGCCAATCTAAGTGTATCTGGATGAATAATTTAAAATGTTCTCTTTTCATTCTTCAATTTTAAAGTCATTCTTCATTTTACAGCAGGGCAAAATTGTCACAGGAATCAGACCTGATCACATAATTGAGTTTATTAATGCAAAACCATTTCTTTAAAAATTATGGATGCATTTAAATATGAACAAATTATCAATGAATTATATAAATGTGCGAATTTCAATAAATTACCAGAATTGACGTATTGGTCATGATGATTTATCTGTTGGGTCAGATATTAACAATGTATTGTTTTTGATGAAATGCTAGTCAGTATATGAAGTATAAATTGGTACAATTTCAGGTTTTTTTCAAGAGGGTCTTTGATATTCTAGTTGTCATACCTTGTTATGGAAATGTTAACTTGTTCCTTCGATTGTATAATAAGTTTTATTTATATTTATTAATGTATTACTCTCTTACCAGGTGCTCACAAAACAGCCAGCTCTGACAGTGGCTGGTCGACGTCTTCGCCGCGACACAACCGCTCGGACTCTCCCAGTTCATCGAGCAATGGCGAAGAGTCTTACGTCTAAAACAAACCTCTTCTGGCTTAATTATTTTTTTGTAAAATTTTGATTTGATCTAGTCGGCGGAAAATTTTTTGTTTGAATGCTCTTTGACTCGCTAACAAGAAAGAAGAAACAGAAACACGGAAGACAAGGAGACTAAGATTGGGGAAATGTTCTAGAGTTTCTGAATGAACCTCCAGTGTGTTGCCCTTTGTAAGGCTAAATTGAATTGGAGAGAAAAAAAATTTGAAAAATTGAATTTATTTTTCCCGTCTGTCAAGCGAAGGGCAAAGAAGAAAATTTTTTTTTTTGGGAATTTTCGCGCGAGTCGTGAATACCAGTGCGTGATGAAAAGCCTTTTTTAATCGAGTTCTGCAGCACTGTTGTAACCTGTGAGCAGAACTTTTTGCCAGGTTTTTTTTTTTTTGATGGCGAGGATGAGAGGTGTGAGCCTCTTTTTTTCTCACTTTCAACAAAAAGCAAAATGCTTTGTTGCTGTTCCAGAGAAGTATTTCATGAAGCTTATTCTGCTTTTTTTCTTGCAAACTTTCTTGTTGCACTCTACTGGTGATGCAAATGCTACTCCGCTTTGCAATAAGACAGTGAAGCATAAAGTGTTGGTTTGTATGCGATCACTTCAAGAAGTGAGTGCTGCAAGGGAGGGGGGAAAAGAGTGACATTCTTGGAAGTTCTCGCTTTTTCTTTCAATTACCATTTTTCTCATGTTGCTGAATATTTTTGTGAGTATCCGTGGAACAAGAAACAAGACTATATTGTTCGCATTCAATTATTGCATCATTTAATTTGCTTTTAGTCGCGCAAATTTAGGAAGCTCCAATTTGTAGATTTTACACAATAATCTTTAGATGAAACGGAAGTGGGAAAATTCTTGTACTGCCAAGCCCCATTAACCCTGCAATGTAGAAATTAAAAATTCCTGAATTCACCTCTAGAATTATTATAGAATTATATCATTCCTAGAATTATATTCAGAACAATTGTAAATTAATAAGTGAACAGGAAATTTTTTAAATATGGAGTTACAGACTCCACATTAAATTAAACTCACATTAAATTTTAGAACGTCCATTGACTTCCGAAGTTTCATAAGACAGCTACAGTCTACGTACCTCAGGAATTAATTACACAAGTTCTTCCCGTCCTCATCAATTTTCATTGCACACACCGGAATAATGGTAAAATAAATGTATCATCCTGTACACTCACTCAATTCGGAAGCCGAGGAGGTCATACGGCAGCTTCTTCGACCAACTAATGACACTCCTGAAAAAATCTACACACCCTGTCATGTTGTCACCACCACAAGTTTGTTTGTTAGTCAGTCACATTTTGTGAATCCCCCCTCCCAGGGATTCAAGTCTTCACGGCATTTTTCTCCCTCTCAGCCCTCAACACGTCCTTGGCCCCCTGGCAAATCAAATCCTCCGCCACACATTCCCCAAGCAACTTCGCATGCCTCGCCTTTGCGCCATCTTCGAATGGCACGTAAATTCCGGAGTACCCAGTGCTGTCAGATGAATCCATATGCCTGGCACTAGTGTCGCAGAATCGTTCCGACGTCAAGCACAGCTTTTCAGGACCAGTGGAGTACACAAAGCCTTGCATATTGAATTGGTCTTTTGCGTGGGTGCGAACACAGTGGGCACCAATGGGCACAGAACACCCGCCTTCCAAACTCGCCATGAATGCTCTTTCTGCTATGGCCATGAAGATGGCGTCAGAGTTGCGGACAGAGCTCAGTAGCTGCAGCGTGTAGGTGTCACTTGCTCTGCATTCCACAGCCAGGCTTCCTTGACCAACTGCAGGCGGCCACGTTGCTGGTGGCAACGTCTGTAAGGGTGGATTGATTGAACAACTGTTACTAATTGAGTATTAAAAGAAACACATGTAGACTCTACAAATATTTTCTCTGCATGAAGGGCTCTCTCCACATTATACAAAAATTCTCTCAACCATTTTTTTGGTCCCTTGAGTACTGCTACAGAGGGAGAGAGTCCACCTATATCATAAAATTATCCAGAATGCACCACATGCATTCTAGTCAAAATTTCAAGCTGTGATACAACCAAAATATCATACTAACAAGTTTAATAAAAAATTTTCATCCATCTTTTCAGAACACATCTTGACTGTTCCCAAATTTTGCACAAAGTGAAACAACTTGACAATATCTTCACATGGCATTTTTTATGTACATACAAAGATGTACAAATCAAAAATTTATAGAGATTCCCGGATTTTCAATTCATTCAAAGCATTTCCATACCTGAAAAATCCAACTTCCTACATTTATTGAATTTTTTCATTAAACAACAGAAACAAAGAAAATGCATTCAACACACTTAGGAAAGTCAGAAAAGCTCTGATCTACCTGGAAAATCATGTTGCCAGCCACAACAAAATTCAACATGACTTTTAAAAGGGTGATCATTTTCCACGCTGTCTATTTGCGTAAACAATTTAAGATACAGTACCATGGGCACGACATACTTTAAATTAAGAGTTATAACATCATTATACAAACCTGATGTACTTTATGCAACATTCCCATCCGCTTGATCCCACAATTGGCGAGAATGATGGCAGCAAAACAGCCGTTGGGATCCTCCAATTTAGCCATTCGAGTATTCAAATTACCCCTCACGGATTCCGCGCTCAAATGAGGAAAGTGTCTCGCAACCAAAGCTGTTCTTCGCAAAGAACTCGTACCAACAATGGAGCCAGCAGGCAGGGTTTCCAACTTCAGGTCGGTGAATTTCGGGGACATCAGCACCACGTCTCCAGGCCATTCCCTCCTAATTGGTCAGAACAATCAAACGTTGATTTACGCAAATATACTCCTAACAGCATACTTTCAGGCAAATGAATAATACCAAGAACTGTTCAAAACGAAGGGAAAATTTGATTGAATTTCAAGACTGAAAATTCCTACAGCGCACTAAATTAATTAATAATTTAAATTGAGTAGCTCACGCACTCGGTAATTGCTCCAAGAGTGAGGCCCAGTGGAAGATGAGAAGAAACGTCTTTCAAAGAATGCACAACAAAATCCACCTCGTTCCTCAGCAAGGCCTCGTCCAACTCTTTCGTAAACAGACTCTTTTCTCCGATTTTAGACAACGACGTCCCAAGCACTTCATCACCTTTCGTCGAATACGTAACTAAGAAAAAAAAAACTAATTGATCAAAATTTCCAAAAAAAATTAACGCAATTATCGGACGAGTTTACTCACCGATTTCAAAATCGATGTCTGAATGGCACAGCTTCAGTTTCGCAATCACATCGTGGGTCTGCAGCAAGGCGAGCTTCGCATTTCACAAACCATGGGAGAAAAACGCATCATCAGATGAACGCAAGAAACAACAGAAGACGAGGCTTTCTCAACTGACCTGACTTTTCCTGGATCCTACTCGAATAACACTCGTAGCTTTGTACGTGCTCAGGTCACGAGACGTCATTTCAAAATCGGATTATACAACTGGCATGATGAACAAACTACGCAACTGCTAATCTACCCGATACCGTTCTAGGGGCACAAACATCTGCAAAATGTGGAAAGCGTGCTTTCTTGGATGGGAACATTGCCACGAAGAAAACCTCAGCAAAAACTACAGTACTTTTCGTGTGTGCTAAACCTAAAAAGCTAACACAGTGCTGTACATGAGAAACATTTCAGGAGAAACCATGCGTTGCTGCTCTCAACATCCACAGATACGCAAAAATACCCCACAAAACTTGATGCACGATACAATTCTTTCAATTTTTCACTCATTGGTGCTCATCACAAACTCGTAGAACATAATTTTCCCTTCTGAAGCATGATCCAATTAAAATGCAGATACAGTAACCGATGATTCATTGCGCAAATATAACACGAGAATGAACTGTTTTACTCGGGCACCATGTGCATCTTCTGCTCCGAAATTTAACATAATGGTGGGCTACATCTTACAAATACAAGTTTCAATTTACTCAAAGACAAAAGTAGTGAACTTTTCTTGCGTAGGAGTGTGGGGTACAGTAATTATGAAATTAATTTACAATCCACAAATTCCTGAACATAAATTCCCAGAAACACCGATGGAATGTTTCAAGTGTCGCATCATAGGTCATAATACGGATTTTCAACTAAATTCATACCTTTGAGAATATATAATTAAGCCTTTTCAAAAAACCCCGCGCATTATTTCGCTCTGCATATCTACTGTGAATTTTAAGTCAATGACAATCAATCGATATCCCCTTAGAAATGTTTTCAACTCAAGGGGAACATTGAAGGCTTCCCAAGCAATGAAGAGGGTAATCCGACCAGTCCCAAACAGTCCACGCGTGACCGAATTCTCAAATTATTCCATTCTGAAAACGTAAATGCAACCCCTTGGTCTTGATGAACATGGCAGTGAAAAAAATTCCCGAGGAAAAGCAACCCATGCCCAAAGTGGAGCCATTCGGCAACAGGAATTTCCTCTACACTGACCTCATACCCGGGACACATGCGCTAGTCCAATTCACCATCAACCAGAAAAAGTACACCCGGGTTTGCGTCATCATTCAGGAGCCCGACGAAGACGGCGACGTGGCTGTGGTCAAACTGCGGTGTCTCAACGAGACCCAAAGGTTCTTCTACATCGACAGCCAGGTCAGAGCCAATGAAACCCCACCCTCCCGATCGAGACACGCACAATAAATTCCAGCTTCTTTATCCAGGACGCCATCGACGTCAAGTTTGAGCAAATCGTGGAAACTTACCCGTCACCCGAAGTTTTTCCCTCCAACGGAGTCACCCACTTTTACTACGCACAGCCCATAGAAGTCTTCGAAGAAGGGTTCAACATCCGACACTCGAAATGATGCATGCAACTAACGAAACTAGCTCATGCAGAAGCATCACAGGGGAAAAATAAGGCAAATGCTTCCTTCCAATGAACCATCCTCCAGTTTTTATCCATCACCCAACAGCACACTCGCAATATCACTTCCTGCAGTTTGCAGAAACATTTCTTCTCGAAGAAGCCAATTCTTTTGTCTTGATGTAAAACAAGTTAACGTGCGTAACACACGCCTTCTTTTAATTTTACTGGGAAAATCGCCTCGAAAATACGGGATGATTCACACACTTAACTGAATATTTCGAGAAATTATGAACACGTTATCAATTCATGTAAAAAAAAAAAATGGCAGGACTACGTGATCCCGATTGCATGGCCATACGACTGATCATCACTCGTAACATAATCCATTATTCATAGTTAATTAACGTATTTACTCGTGTGCCAAGGGCATCAGAGTTTTTCTCGTTGAATATTTTTTCTTTATAAAATTGGATTTCCGAGTAAGACACGCACCTCATTTTTTCAAAACTTAAACCTGCAATATTCCAAAATTACGGAACACCTCAACTTGCATTTAGACATGAACTGATCCTGAGTTAAACAAAATTTCAATCGCTTCCTCCAATTCAAAAAGTTTTTTTTTATAAAATGGTTCGGATTATTCCATCTAAATCAATTATGCAACAACTGAACTAGTAAAACTTTCTTTGAAGTGTCTGCATCATCCCGTACTTCGTCAAGGTACTGTACTTAACACATGCATCAAAAATAGCCAGCGTTAAAACGAACTTACCAAACCTTATAAATCAAGTTTGTCGAAGCTTTTTTTTCCATCACACGTCTGCATGCACGAATCGTCAAAATGGGACCACAGGATGAAGCATAATTCATTACAAAAAAAAAAAAAAACTTCAAATCTTCCTGAAAATGCTTCAGATCAGCAACTTGGACATGTATGGGCCGTCGAGCGCATATCCGAGCTTGGCGTAATAATCCCTGGTTCCAACCCCGGAAATAACAGCCAATTTGCTTGACCCGTGTTCTTCCTTCGCGATTCGTTCAGCCTCTTCCATGAGCAAAGTGCCGAACCCTTGGTGCTGGAATTTGCGCGGGTCTCGGGCGCTCACGGGTACGACAGATCCGTAAACGTGCAGCTCGCGAACAACACTCTGACCCGCCAACTCCGGTCTGTGGGCTTCCGGACTGCACTTCCGGAGTCGCAGCAAGCCAACCAGGATGTCCTGTTCCGGGTCCTCGTAGGCCAGGAACGTTTCCCAGCCCTCGTTTGCGTAGTAGTCTCGACGGACGAGCTCGATGTCATTCGGACGCACCTGCAATAATTGAATTTATCCACCATCGTTTGTATTTTCATTTCACGCATTCAATATTCAGTAGAACCTCGATAACTCGGAACTTCCGTGGCCAAATATTTTTTCAACTCCCTATCTGAATTCCCTCACTAGAAATGTATTAGAAAACTCCCGAACTCAAATTTTCTCGAGGTATTTTAATAATTTCATTGGCACAGAGAAGAGAAAATCAATAAAAATGTAACCTGACTCGCTTTAAAAAAAGGAGTAATCATGCAAATGAACATGCCCGCAAGTTCTGAATCCTGTCAACTCATTCAAAGAGTAATTGAAGGTCCAGATTATCATAAATCACGATTTCTTGCAATTATTCGTTCTTTTCCCCCAACAAAAAATGCCTATTCCTCTAGCTCGAATTTCGTTGTTGCTTGCCCCTTAAAGTTCGAGTCTATTTTCTCGGTAATCCCAACTTGGAGGCAGCTCCAGCAAACAAACAAGAAAGAATAGCAGAATTAATCGAAAACGTGTTTTAACTCAGCCACAGTTCACGAAACCTCCAACAAGATTTTCATCAGCGACTAGATAAGATGCAACCGGTATTCTGATTCACGTTTTGGGCAAATTTCATCTTGCAATTGTATATTCAAATGAGGCTCCTACAGTTGAAATTAAATTAGTTATGGTCGTCAAGTCACAAATAGACGAGAGACATGCCCGATGTATACGAAACCCGTCACCCATGAAATACTGTACCTTTTCGTGAATGGCTTGAATCCCGACCTCGCGTGTCCTCACGTCCCGACACTTGAGTCCGAGGTCCTTCATTCTGGCCAGGGCCAATTCTCTAAGGTTCCCGTGCTCAACACCCGACGTCACCAGAGGCATCGGTATGTCCCTTTGCACTCTATACACCCGGGTCCAAGGGGGAACCAACGACAGGATCTTGGCAATTAAGTCGACTAGCGTGGACGGGGGATAACTCAGATATCGCTTGGACTCCCACAACTCGAACAAACCGGTTCCTCGGATAACCAGCGTAGGGTAGATTTTCAAGCCATCAGCTCTGAACGCGGGATTCTGAGGAATACAAAAGAAAAACTTAGGTTTCAAGACTTCGAATACAACACGTAAAACCAGAGGATCCATTTCTTCCGTCCACAGTCAACGCTACAATATTCTTTGGCACCTGAGAAATTCATAAAATGTATCCATTATTTTAGGACTTGCACTTGAAATAAGAGAATTGTGACATGGGTTCACAATTAACCAAATTTGGGGAATAGGTACGAGGCGACCCCGACATACCGACGATTCGTCTAAGGGTCACTTAAAACAAGAAAGAATCTGCTCCGGAAGTCTTTGAGTTACGGATGCTTTGTTAAAATTTTTAGGAAAATCGAAAAAATTATTCTATGGCTCGTGGAATGAACAATTCACCTCGAAGAATTCGACGAACTGTTCAATGTCACGCTCGAGATCCACGTTTGGCAAGTTGGGCATCATGTGAGCCACAACTTTGAAACCCGCGTCCTTGGCCAGCTGGAAACTCTCGCAAACGGCTTTCACAGTGTGGCCCCGGTTAGTGTCACGTGCCACATCCTCGTACGTCGACTGAACGCCAATTTCCAATCGAGTACAACCGTAACACAACATGTCCGTCAAGTGTCGCTTTAAACAGTAATCCGGGCGCGTCTCTATGGTGATTCCGATGCACTTGGTCCGGCTCTTCTCCGAGTACTTCACAGCTTCCGCGACACTCGAACTCTTGAATAAAAAATGAGCAAAGAATATATTTGAGAAAAGAAAACAAGATAGCCTTCTTCGTTAATGCAGGGCGTTTGGAAAATTTTAGTAAATAATCCGAGATTCACCCCTCGCACTCCCATCACAAGTAACAACTGTATTCACTTGTGAAATACTTCGTCCTACGTTTTGTCAGGACCGGCTATCCTCCTGTGGTTCGTTTTTTTCCCCGAAGACATTATTTTCAAAATTAAAGCTCTTGACACATCCGACGTCGAATTCAGTGGTTCTCTATTCGGAACAGACCAATTACTGATTTTGAGAATGTGCTCGAAGAATCAATCGAGTACCACCCGCACCCTTTTTCTCGAAGTTGAGAAGAAAAAAGGGGGTGCGGGTCATACGTGAGTATAAATTTTTCAAAAAGTTTTAGTAGTTCAGCTATGAACAATATTCGATTGAAATGTGATATGCTGGACAAATTTTAACTGAAAAACGTATTACTGTATATTGAAAAAATTCAAAATTAGTTGAATTCAGGTTCAATGCATGTCTGAATTCAAATTTGGGGGTTGTTGATTATGAAATATTGCAGTTTCAGAGTCATTAAAAATGGAGCGTGCATCTTACTCGGTGATACAAGTTTCATCAACATTGGTGACTGAAAAACCCCGGTACTAATGACGCCAAATGAGACGAAGTCACCTTTAATTTTCACATTTTACCGGCATCACTGTATGATTAGGCACAGAATTTTGACATTTTCCGTTTCTCATCAATAAAGTACTTACCGAATGACCAGACAAGGCGTCGTGAAGGTTCCTAATAAAATAATCCCGGTAATCTTCACCCAATGCCATGAAAGTTCCACCCATGACGATGAATTCCACCTTGTCTACATCGTGGCCCAGTTGCTTCAGCTGTTCCACTCTGTGTCTGGTTTGTAAATACGGATCGTATCTGGCTCTAATCGCCCTCATCGACGTTGGTTCATACCTGTACAGAAAAATGAGAACCGGTTGATATACATTAACGATCCCCTGAATACGAGGGATTTCTCGAAAGTTCTGCAAGTTGCTTAATGCACTAAATCATATTCAATGCATCTTATGACTCAAAATTTCTTAACCACAAAGAAGGCGATGGAAGTGATTCTACACAAGGTGGTTTCTCGAAAATTTTATAAATCCGCCTAGAATGGGGAAGCTAAGCATTATATCACGCAATTTTAAAAACTTTTCATCGTCGTAGTGACCTTTCACCAAAAATTAAAAATGAATTATTCAGAATGAAGCATCGGCTTTTGTCTGACTCTTGCGATTTGGAACACTTTTGAAAAACACTTCAGATGAAACATAACCGAGTTCGTACCTATTTCTTCTTCCTCTTGTCTCATTCTTTTACACCCAATCACTCCTCCTCGTATACTCACCGTGATTCAATCGAAATGACACTCAAGCATTAATGTAAATTCGTTTTCTCCACCAACTCACCCGGTGTAGGATTGCGTGGAGTATTCAAAGTCCGAGTCTGGTCCTCCGGGACAATAGACGCAAATGTTGCCAGTCATGTTGATGTGTGGACAACGATGCGGTTTACACATGACAGCGACAACTGCGATTCCACTGGCTGTTCGCACTGGTTTCGCCTTTAATCTGGGCACCAGAGTTTCTTTCAGATCAGGCGGAACAGCAGCGATTATGTCCACAAGACGCGGGGACTTGGCCAGTCCATATTTTCCGGCTAGAAAAAAAACTTGCCTTCAAATAAATTCAATTTACCAAAAATGTATACAGATCGATTTTCTCTAAAACGAAATTCAAGGGATCAGAATAAAATTTTCCCTTGAGAGACGATAGTTTGGGTAGAGACTCCGGTGGGACCACACAAAAATACGTTGTACAGTCCAGAGGAAATCATTGTAGAGGGAGTCTACCTATACAGCATAAGGATATTTCGAAAGTTTCTGTTCAAAAATTCGCTTTCCACTTGTCATGCAGTAGAATCTCGTCGCAAACAATCTCGTTATAACGAATTAATGCCCACAACGAATTCGTTTTTTATTCTTGCCCTCTGTGCAATAGCAACAACGTTATTTCAATTTTGCTTTAACGAATTTTCATTTACGACATAACTAAGCCTTCCTAAGGTCCCAAACGTTTCGTTGTAACGAAATTGTACTGCATTTTCTTAGTACAACATATCAACAGCTGAGGATAACTCTCCGTTCTTGAAGTCTTTCAATTGGCCCTAATTGACCATCTGTTATAAACTGAATCATGCACGATCAATCTGCTTCAGGATGTCCAAACATTGGCCAATTTTTCAAGTTCTCACACTTATTCCTTTACCCGGACGAAGAATTCCAAGGTTCCACTTGGTTCCTCTTGTGTAAGCGAACATTTGCTACAAGGTTGATTTGATTTTTGGATAGAATTTTCCAAGGGTGGAATGAGAGGAATATTTTTTAAATCTTTTGCTATGAGTGACTCACTCTGAAATCTAATATATTCTCCGTCAATTTTGGAGCAGTTCCGGATTTTTCAAGTGAAAACCCTGGATAATTTGGTGAATATTCAAGGAGACGAGAAACTTACCAATCGTTGTCTTCAACTTGTTCAAATCCACATCTTTTCCGGCATGAACGGCAGCAGCTAAGGCGCGAATCACTTCATTTATGCACAAAATAGCGCACTCCTCTTTAGTGCGACCAACTGCACTCGGTGGCACCTGTTTTCCCATCTAAAACATGGACATGATTCAATTCAAGAACCACATAAAAAAGTGAATTCTCAACTGGGTAAGCCTACTGTGGAACATTCGAGAAACTTCGAAATTTCTGGTGATTTGCAAGAGTATTGAAAGCTGAAACGATGCTTTTAGGATCACCGGGGTGGATAAACAGCATTAATTTAAAATGGAAAAAATTACCAACTTCGTTTTTCGAATGTCCTTGGAAAAAGTGAGACAATGGGCGACAACCAAATGGCCTCAATTAGACGCACATTGGTGAGAAGCCATTAACCAATTTACGTTCTCATACAATCTGTTTTCTTTTTTCAAACTTTCCAAGCGACGAGTGGCGAAGAAAGAAGTCGGTGCAGCTGTTGTATTGCAACAGCTGTGGGTACAAAAATACGTAAAACGAATAGCAGAAACGGGGCTCAGAAGAATTTAAACACTCGTCGTGGAGTCGACAAAAAACAAGTCATTCGAAACACATTTCCTTTTTTACAATACAACGCCCCGACGCAAGCTTTCTACAAAGGCCAGAAACACAGCAGGAAAAGATGGAAAGAACAATGCCTTTTCCTTGATAAACAAAGGAAAGTCGTAAATAGTTCTCAATTAATTTTTCCACAGTCCCTCATCAACTGAGTCATACAGGCCCATTCCCCGAAACGGCTTGCTCAAATATGTGTCCATCTCGTAATTCATTATTGAACAGAATCGCATTTGAACGAATTGGAAGACTAGGAATCATAAAGCAAACCACCGACGAACTCTTGAATGAGGATGTGCAATAAAAGAGCAGTATAGAAATGCTTGTCGATCAATAGCTTTCCTTTCCATAAATCTTGAAAATGTTTGCTGTTCAACCTCGTGACGCGTGCAACAAGTCTGAATAGCCGAGAAAACAGTTCCAGATTTCCACGAAGACATCAACGTGAAGCGGAAAACAAGATTCTTGACAAGCCGTCGATCGGGAAAAGGGCCTCACACAATTTCAGCTCGTGAGAGAAGATCCCGGGTGCGGAAATACAATTAACGAGAACCCAAAACGAGAAAAAAAAGTCCAGCTAAAACAACAAGTACACAAAACTCGAATCTCGAGCTTCCATTCCATCTTTCGTTTTTCTTATATAGTTAAAACTCGCGACGATGATAGCGATCAGGATCAAAGTAAGACGTCACGACGACACGGCTGGCGAACTTTCGGCCCGACAGCGCCGTCAGGGCTCTTTGACAGTCAGACACTGTGTTGAATTCCACGAAAACTTTCCCGAGTCCCGGCAAATCGACACCCTCGATGGGTCGAGGGATTTCAATCGAACGCACCACCCCGTACTTGTTGCACTCTTCGCGAATGTCCTCCAAGATGTCTTCATAGTCCTCGTCGTCCTTCAAGTCCTCCGGCGTCACCATGTTCAACAAGCACAGAACCTGAGCCAAGGCAAACGGTTCATTACAAATATGCTGACTCAGCTTTGCCAAAAATGGAAAACCGCACAACTTCAACTGTAGTACAGTTAAGCGACGCAAGTCGAAGGAATTATGAAACTACTGTATATCTCCCTAAAGTCGGGCAATGATCGAAACCAAAGCAACCAACTGTTGCTTCATTTGCAGTTAAAATCACCAACACCCTCCAGTTTTCTCTGATAAATCAGGTCACATTCCAACGATAAATACTAGGGACTTCGTCCCAGATTCAAGCATCCAACGCGTTTCCTTTATCGAAACATAAGAACTTCTCATGCGAATCTTCAAACCAACTGATAATCCCGAAGTTTGCAGCCAAACAACGTACCATTAATCCTTGAAAGTGATCAAACTTCAAGAAGTACTTCGTAATAATCTTCCAAATTAAAAGAAAACGCAAGAATCGCAGTCCCATAATTCATCAGGCGCCAAAAATAAAAATAAATTTGAAAACTGACTTTGCCAGACACACCATTTGCTTACAACATAGTTATGACGAAAAGCAGAATGTCACAGAAAATGAATGAAAACAAACCTCCGTCGGCGGCACGGTCAGATTGCTGAGGTCGAGACCAGGAACCTGGATTTGCACGGGTGTCGGAGCCATGGCTCCGGGTTGCGCTTGGGCGTTCTTCGCACCCACGCTCGCCCGCTGAACAATCAGCCGCTTTTCACCCAGTTGCATCCCGTTCAAACCCGCAATTGCAGTATCCGTGATGATGGCGTCCGCGTATTCGCAAAAAGCGTAACCCTTTGAGAATCCCGTCGTCGAGTCTTTCACCAGGTTGAACGCCTTTAGTTGGCCAAAGCTCATCAACAACTCTTTCACCTGGAATGCGACGAAAGAATAAAATAAAAAGGTGGATTAACAACTCATCAAATACTGTAGGAAGAACCGATTTAAACCAAAACTTTCGTCAGTGCAATGATCTCAAGTGCAGAATTGGAATTAAAGCAAGCCTTTGTCCAGATTTTCAGATTCTCTTGGATAGCATCCCCGAGTCGGAAAACTTTTCGTTCATCAGCATTTGTACCACTGCGGTTGCTAAGAAAACATATCGTTTTTACATGGAAACTCGGTTCTTAGAACTCCTACCTCGTCGACATGAAGATTTTTCCATAATTTTAAATACAGCATTCGGAATCACTTTGGCTGCCTAAAAATTCATCCAAGTGCGATAAGTGAACCATATTTTTACATAGCGACGACATACCTTTTCGGTTAGCTATCCTATCAACATTTCCGTTTGGGTGTACAAAAATTAATTGTTCCAACGATCCAGAAATAATTCATATTGCTCCATAGGAAGACACAACTCATCTGTATACGTTCAAAAGACCTCACCTGGTCTTCGTTAAGATAGTTCGGCAAGCCTCCGACGAAGACCTTGTGCGGAGAGTCCGGGACAACGGTGCTGATGACCCCTAGCAAACCCGCAGGGTGACATGGCAGGGAGAAAAATGGGGCAAATCCAACATTAACCCGCGCAAAGAAACCAAATTTCAAAAAAAAAAAACGAATGTACCGAAGAAAAGAACGTCTTGCTTTTCCAATTACAATTCCGGTTCGTTCGGTAGAAAACACAGCATGAAGCAAACTCACCAGGAACGAAAGAGTTGGGATTCTCGCTCATCCCAGGCATGGGCTGGTAGTCATGTGGACGACGGATCTTTAAACTCTGGCCCTTGAAGTTGATCCCGTCGAACGCCATCGCTTGTGTCGTCTCATCAATGGACCGGAATTCCAGGAAAGCAAAGTTTTTATCCAGGTTCACTTGACAGGCGAGCACAGGATTTCCAGCTGCTTGTGCCAGTCCAGTCAAATGCATTTGTTGATTGAAATATTCCATCATCTCCTCCTAAAAAAAAGAAGCAAAAAATACAAATGAAATACGCTCTATTTACTGTATTCGTCACGACTGACGATGGGCTTCACTTTAACGCACCGCACACATGAATGTTGCTTGTGTTGGTCATTCGTCTCTTTCTATGAGGTTATCTAAAATTTATTGTAGTATTTTATATGATCTTTCAAATAGGACATGTCAAGGAATCTGGATCAAGTGAGCCATTTCAAATTGAGTAGCTTTAAAATAAAGTGGAGCCTCGAGATGCGGAAGTAACTGGTGCTTGAGCTCTAAAAAAGGGTGCACAAAAGTAGGATGTTTTGGATTAGGAATTATAGTGAATTTATGAAAAAATTTTTCACAAGCTCAATTCGTTGAAGATCTACCAAAATTTTGAAGAAAAAAAAACTTGTTCCAAATCGTCTCGAAATTTTGAATGGGAAGTCAACTTACCTCGGTGACACCGAAGGGGATGTTTCCAACATAAAGACGACGGGCTTGTCGCGTGATGACAGAGCCGACCACGGGTACGCCACCCGCAGCAGCGGGCTTGACGTCCATCTCAACAGACTCGCTCCTGGCCGCCGTTGCCGGGATCAGGGCCCCCGTGATGGAACCCGGTGTGTGGTGGCCCTGCATGGACTTGTACTCGGTCGGCGTCATGTGCTCGTATCCCGGTGGTGGCACATCCCAGTACAGCGACGGCTTGCGTCGACGTCCCTTGGTTCCGTTACTCTTCGGCGAACGCGATCGTCGACGGTCCCTGGAACGCGACCTTTTCTTGTCCCGTGACCTCGACCGTCGTTTTCTTTCGCGATCGCGTGATCGGGATCTCGACCGGTGAGATTTCTCACCTGGGTAAAAAAGTTTATAAACCGGTAATGTAAAGAATATAGCTATCAAAAACTCACCTCTCTCTTCTCCCATCACGTCCGGCTGCCCTCACGACTGCGCACAAGTCACGGAATAAATCGAAATTCACGAGCGAATCCTAGAAAACGGTTCATCTTCAAAATGGGCTCGTGAAATCAATCAGGACGAAATGATACAAAACGGCGAATTCCAAGAAACCGTTTCACATTTCCCTAATACCGCAGATGACGACCATTGCATCCGCCCAAAAAATGCTAGCCCACCCGCGCCAATTCAACAAAATCCACATGCAGCCCGCACGACGCTGGAATTGGCAAAAAAAAAGCTTTGTCTCAACCCACCCCTCATCGGTTTTTGTTTCTCTGAAACTGCACGAAGAATACCCCGTAAATTTCATATCAGAAAGCCGACAGAGCCCAAAAGAAAACTAGTTTACTCAATCTCGTTGATAATTCAGAACGAAAATCAATCGTTGGAGCGCTCGAGACATGGCGGAATTCTGGAATGTTTTACACCTCCCACAAGTGATCGGGGAAAAAGATCATTCCGTCTTTTTTCCACTGTCCCCACCCGCCTTCGCGTCACCCGTGGAATCAGCTTCGGGAGACTTTTCTGGGGTATTCGCTTTACTTTTCCGGTGATTCCAGCTGACTTTGTCGATGTTGGCCATACGTTTCTTGAGCTCCTTCTTGAACATCTGCCACATTTTCTCACGAATCACGGTTGACGTGGTAAACATGTTTCCCAGGAAAACGACGAAGAAAAGCCCGCTTAAGATAGAAATCTACAAAAAATTGGGAAAAATAAGTAATTAACATCATTCTGGAATATGGAATCTAAAATTAAAACATACCGGCCAAGGTGCCTCGGGTTCCTTGGACATTTCGTACAAGACATACGCATTGTACAATTGGAAGAAGTATCCAAGGTACAAGAGAGGGAAAAGAAATGACAGGCCTTTCCACATCCACGAATGGAATCCCTCTATGGTAATATCCATGCTGTACCGATCGCCCAGTGCTTTCAATCGGTACAGACAGCCTTTCTGGTAGTGGAATTGCACGTACTGGACAACTCCTAAGCGAAACGAAAAGCGAATCAGTAAGTAGCGACACTTCTTACTATTCAAAATCTTAATAATTGTACAACTTACCTATGTATATGTTGAAGTACACAAATTGTGATCGGAACTTCAGGTAACTCGGTGAACTGGTCCACACCAAAAGAACGCCGGACATGACTGTGGCGATGAAATGATGCAGTCTCCACCATCCCTTGATGCGTGAACCGTTCACTCGCAAAATTGATTCACGAATGGTGAGCGTACAGTAATACCAAACCAGAAGGAACATGAACAACAAGTCGAACACGGTGTTTTGGATCACAAGGTTGAGGACTGCCATGCAAAGTACGATTAGCGTCACGGACAACTTGAACTTCTCGTACTCCTCTTTGTACTTGAACCGTCCGTTTTCGTTGAGGATGGATACATTGACCGAACCAAGAATAATGCTCAGGTAGAAGCCATTCTTCTTCGGTAAGAAGCCTTCCATGGCCTGAAGCTGGGCATCCCGTCGGCTGATATCCTTTTCAAAATCCACTTTCCGAACTTTGTCTTCATCACCGGACAAATCGATCCTGGAATTAAAATATGATTTTAAATTTCCGCATTCGTGTAACAGCTTCACGTCTTACTTTTTAAGAGATGACTTCAGGCACCTTAACCGGTACTTCTGGTGCGTCAGCGCCTTTTCGAATTTTGAACGGGTTTTTTCCACAAGGTCCAAGCTTTCCGTGTAATCCTTGTGCAGGGCCTAGACAGAGCAGAATAACATAAAACTACCACACATCGTCTATATCTCAAAAATGGTTGAATACCTGCAGGCTAACGTACTCCTCAGCAAGATCCTTCCAGTCTCCTTCACACGGAGTTAAACGGCTGTACTCCATCGCGGAGGCTTCTCACGAAATACGTACGACACGGCAATTCAATCCGAACACATCTTCGCAAGCCAGGAAATAAAAAGCTGGCTTCACAAGTCACAAGAAGGCGTTGGCTGGACAAGAAGTCTATGGAGCCGGACATCAAATTTTCAGTCACGAAGTAGCCGGTCGAGAAAGGGATTATAAGCGTGAAAAATGTAGTCATCAGACCACAAAATACGGACAGCGCATGACTTGCGCATTTTCAAACAAGTTCGTTTCATTAAGAAGCATGTACTTCCCTCAATACGAAGTCCTGCAGAGCCGGTTAAACGGACTCCAGCCAAGCGCGATTTGTGCATCACGCACGCGTCGAAAATCACTCCACTGAACCAAAGAATCGCTATTACAGTAAAATTAAATATTCCAAACGAACACCTGCACAAATTTGCATCGTTGATCACGTCACTTGTCCCGCCCTCATCTAAAACATTTTCTGGAAGACCTGATGATAACGTAGATGGCTCTATTCGCAACAAGCCATGTTGGATGGCCAACTGGAAACGAAAGCGCCATCCTAGAATCTGTTCACAGAGCGTCGTGATGATTGACATGGTACGCCACATACATATCGTTCTCGTCATGCCTGTCAAAAGAACTGCCAATTATTTTGACCACTATTTCGAGTTCTGCGTCTGGCCAATTTTTGGTAAATACAGACACGATGAGACACCAATAACCTTATAGATTACGGTATAGCATTCAAAATTATTCGAACTTTCTCTCTTGATAGTAATAATAGTCCTCAACTCACGATTATATGGACGGGGGAGACCTCTCGTAAAAATGCTTCTTCGTCTTCAGGAAAATTTCTCTCCTAATTTCTCCTCAAGCAACTGCTGCTGCCGAGCTCATGTAAAAGTACAAAAGGACTGTATGTACCTCTTCACGCAGGACTCAGACCCAACTATGAAGAAAACGATCATTTATTCGATACATCTCACCAATAATATGGAATCAAACCCAGGAGTGAAAATCAAATTTCTATTTTATTGAGACGATGATATCAAGAAACACATTTCCAGCACAAAACGTCATCCATTACCCGACCCAAAAATAAAATCCACGGTTATCCCCAAATCCATGGATGTCAACACTGCTGCATATACCTGCTGGACACATTTTTTTTGTGAAGCGGATCACTTCCTCCATAGACACATAAAATCCTGCAGGCAACTCACTTGAACACAACGAGAAAAATCGATTGACCAGTTTGGAATGATTCAAAAGTGCTAACAAACATGGACCAGACAACATATAACTGCTGCATATATAAGCGGAATGGGGTCAACGTAGGAGGAAAATGCCGGGGAAGTTTTCCGGCACCCAAAAACTAAAATACAATTGCACACTTAAAAAACAAAACAATAACATCAAAAAACAGAAGGATCTTCTCCGGTTAATAAAATCCAGCCAAGATACAAGCATAAACGTCGAACAGCAGCTCAATCATCTCAAACGCGCGATTTCCTATGTCTTCGTCGTGATTTCAACGCTACAGTATATAGAATATACTCATATAAATCCCGCATTTCGACTAAAACCAAGATTCTGTTCCTTTTTTTGTTCCTTGGAATGATGTGATGAGCAATTTAATCTAATTTAATGAAAAACAGAAAGAGCGATCCAAATTGAATCTGAATGATTAATCTCTATATATCAGTGCGTGACGCAATCCCTCATCAGCAAGTATATACTTTACTGTATTAAGCAAGAGTATCTCAGGTAATATTCCAACTCATCTTTCCGCGTATGTCTTTTGAACTCGCAAGTATGCCAACTGAAGAATTAAATCTGCCATTTTGAATCAAGAGAAATTGTATCCAGGCTTTGGAGCATATCTCGAGGGGTTCAAATATTCAACCCGACTGTATTTCTTCTCCCTCGTGTCCATAGAAGGAGGAGGTGCACTGCAGGAATCTATAGCATCCACGATGTCGTCTTCGCAAACCTGTTTCCAAAACAGAAAAATAATAAGTTATGCAACATAGATACAGTACATTGTATCGTCTTATTGAAACAGTACGGAGTGACTCACGCACCACTGAACCCAAGGCGAAAAAACAGGAAGATTTCGGGAGTTTTGCAAACATTTAATTATTAACTACAGTAGTTGTATCAATGGGACAAGAATAATAAGCTAGAGACCGCGTGAGAGAATCCCCATTCTTATGCAGCCTTTCATCCAAGCAGTTTTAATAACAGCGCAGAGAAAATGTTTCCCTTATATTTTGAGTGTGCGCCATTAATTTTACATAAATTAGGGAAAAAAGAATCGTCCAATATTACGCTCAGCAGCAGCATTACGTTTTTTTTTCTCTCGTAAAAATAATTCATGAAGGGACAAAATATATTTTAGAATATATAGACTCTTACAAATAAAATTACGGTAACTTGTCCGGTAAATTATTAAAACTACCGTATACGGTATATATAAAATGAATACAGTAATTGATATATATCACACGACTGAAATTTTCCTTCTGCATACCAGACAATAAACTGATGAGGGGATTTTTCATTCCTTCTTTAATGCCTTTGAATACTCCATGTACCGCATATCCTTTCATTAATTCGATATAAAAAAGAAATTTTCCATTATTGTATATAGCTACATATATATACAGTATATGTATAATTACAGTATATTTTTGCAACGAATATATTCATTTCGTTGCGGTCTCACGCAAATGTAATGCAGCAGCGCAAGTAAGTGATAATCGCTTGAATTACCTTGATAAAACAGTGATCCATGAGTTGCGAAGCAAGTTTCCGCTTGTTCGGGTCAGTTTGAAGACAGCACGCCAAAAAGTTTTTTCCTTCCCTGCTCAAGTGCATGGGAGTCGGTGGCTTCCCTCCCATTCCGACCTTGAACATGATTTGGTAACTGTCTCGCAGTTCAGACCACGGCCTCTGCATAGAAACAAATAGAGCAATAAATTAAAGCAAAACTTTCAAAGCAAAAACATTAAAAATAAGATATGACCAGGAGTGACTCAAACACTCAGCCTTCTACTGATCTGGAGTCAAAACGCGCTACCATTACGAGGCCTTCTTGCAACATGTACCCGGGGAAAAACCAATACTCAGACCTCTCGTTAGCCCTTAATTCAATCATCATTAGATTAATGAATACGCCATTTTAAAACGGCTTCTACGCAGCCACATCCTGACAGCAGTGCACCGAAGGACAATAACCAGCAGTACCAGTACAGGAATGTATTTTGGCAATTAAAAATCCGACTCTAGTGACACCTATGCAACACCCAGATAAACCCGCGCAGATACTGCTATCTGCGTTAAATAAAAAAAAGCACAGTGCAGGGAAAAAAGGCATACCCGCCCAGTGGCCATTTGAATGACCACGCAGCCCAGGGACCAAATGTCGGCCGCACGACCATAACCAGGGTCACTGGAATTCGCTGCCTCTTCGTCATTGTTGGTGTCGCGGTCTTTGCCACCATTGTAGTGTCGATGTCGAGCATCAGCTCGTTCCCCTTGGTCTCTTGAAATCACTTCCGGAGCCATAAACGCAGGGGTTCCAGTGAAACTCTTGAGTTCCCCGGGCAACGTCACGCCACCGCGGATTTGTACAGCGCACCCAAAATCCCCCAGTTTGCAGGAATGCCCACCGTCAGTCAAGAAAATATTCGCCCCTATGGCAAACAAAACAAATTAGCAGCATGCTCAGTTGTTTTTCGTATGCTTTAAGATTGAAGGGACGCTACGAGATTTATTTATATGCAGTATACTGTACTGTATTTTAAATTAAATACGGTAAAATTTCGTTGCACAGAATTTCCAAGAACCTCACAAAACATCATTATAGCAAGATTCATGGTTTCAAAAACATGTATGGCTGAACTTTTTTGGGAAATGGATAATGAACATTATTGTGATAGTGCTTCTGCAACAGAATATATATTGAAGGCTTATTGCCGTATTATTTTTAGACTGTCTCTCATGAAATGCAAAGATACATTTTCGAATAAACTCCTATTATTTTTTTAACATGCCTTGCTTCAAATTTCGTAACTATGTGCTGATGTTTTTGAAAAATGAAATTATTCAAAACGTATAAGCACCTTGTCCTTCCAAATGCATGTATTCAAGCACACCCATTTATTGTTCTTTGAACAAGGGTACATTATTCTCGTGACATACTGTACTCTTTTCATTTGAAAAAAGACCATTACAAAATTCTCAAATGAGCCGCCTACGTAAATTTCAAGAAAAACAACATGCTGTATATTTTTTGCAATGCTGTACAAAATATAATTTTTAAAAATCTTTGATCCATTTTCTTCAAATGACGACGAAATAATTCTAATGGCTCATTCATATAGAAGCAGGGCAAACATTCGCTATTTATTGCAGCTAATTTCGGCTATACAGTACCTTGTACAGTATATGAAAAGTTGTAGCAAGATTATCATAAGATTGTTTCTTTCAATAAACTTCTTGTGCACCAAGCAAACATTCACGATATATGTAAAACGGAATTTTCCTGGGTATGTTTCAGTGGATAGACATGATATACAGTATTCAACTGCAATGGTGATTCGAATAAATACTTATCGGAACCATTCCGTTAGCATTGCTAAAGTTACCAAGTTAGGACATACAAACCTTTGATATCTCGATGAATAATTCCGTGGTCATGCAAGCAGTTGATGGCTGAAGTAATTTGTGCTGTGTATCGTCTCACCAAACTCTCCGGAATGCCCTCTTCATGATGAGTTCTTCAAAGATGATGAAAAATTGAACGACAAAAATACCATAACGCGCGTTATCACAACAAAAATTTCAAACAAGACTCTCAAATGTCAGCTCACTTGTGTTTCCCTGAATGCTCGAGGGCCTTTTTAGCCATGTTGTTTTTCTCCGCCATGCTTTCGGCCAAACTTTCGAGCGTTCCTTCGTTGCAATACTCCATGAACAGCAACATTTCCTCCTGAAATAATACAAAATAATAATAACTCAGTCCAATACATTCTCTTAATTGCAAGTACAGTAAATATGAGATCCACTCACCCTCAAAATTTCAACACCATAGTATCGAACCAAATTGGGATGAATGATGTTCTCAAATAATCTGATTTCTGAAGCCAGTCGACTGACAGCAGCCTTATTCTCAGGATCCTTCGACGGACACAACGGCAACTCTTTCATAGCCAGCATCTCCCCGGTTTTCAAATTGACAGCAGTGTAAACTTTACCAAACCTGCCTTGACCAATTTTCACTCCCTTATCGATGAAAAAGAAAAATTGAGATTTAGAATAAATTTCTCGAAAAAAACAAGTTCCAAAAATAGATGAATACCTTTTGCCAAGAAAAGTTGACAGCCTTGAGTCTGAGTCGTCCCCGTGCCTCCGGGGCAGAACCAGAAACCCTGCCAATCAAACCTTCCTCGTGCAAATGATCTTCTCGTTCTTTCTCCTTTTCCGCAATCGCTGCTCTGATCTGCACAAGGTCCACACGCAAACACACAAAAATAATTGAAGCTTCATTCTCCAGATGAAACTCGAAGAAAACTTTGCATAGCTTCAAAATACCGACAACGGTTTAGTACGAAAAATGTGGCGGTCGAATTGCTCAAAAAGCGGCTTAGAGTAATGAAAAAAATAAATCATCGCAGAAATGAATTGTCGAAGCATATCATCATCATGGCTCTCGTGAAATTCGAATCAACAGCAGAAATGTGTGATAAATACTACGGTCTTTCTCATACATTTTGCAATAAATCCAATTTTAACAATTATTCATCGAATAAGTTCCATCACGTCAAAAATAAAAAACCCCTCGAATAGATTTGCTATTTTACAGCAATTTATAAATCGTCTTCGGAGGGAAAAGAAAGGTCGTATTTTACATAGTAGTGACATTAAGAGCATCTGTGAGCCTTCTTCCATTCAATCGATCGTCACAGCCCAAGAAAAACCAAACAGACAACTGAAAACGATAACTCGAGTCCCCTTAGCATAGGTTTAGGATTAGGTCACGGAAGCACCATTTACAGTACAAGCCGTAGAATGCGTAGATAACACAAAATGTATGAAAAGACCCTCGCAGTACTGTATTTTATTCTAAAATAAACCGTATTACGTATCACGAAAACGCAAGAATTATACATGCTCGCATATGCACCACACTTCCACCCAAAGAATAAGGAAAAAAAACCAGGCAAAAACCAAGCGAAAAAAAGCAAGGAAAAACCCAGAAAAAAACTGGAATAACCTGACGAAGCGGGAACGTCATCGCGCCGTGGCCAAGATCAGCCTTTGGCATTTTCGAAGGAACGAGAATAAGACCCCCGACGAGTGTGGCGCAGAAACAGAAAGTTGCCAAGTTCGGCGGGGGAAAAGAAATCAACGGAAATAGGAAACAAAATAAAGTTCACAACAATCAACGACGATGACGACAATTACACATGAAATATCAACAAACGACACGACTACCACAATACGTAAGGTTCTTATTCAAGCCAAAAATAAATAAATGTGCATTTCTTGAACAAATTACCGTATACACATTACATACTGTACATACACACCTTACAACGAAAATTCTATGGGCACATGATTTTCAAAACCACTGATGCGACATCAATACACAAGCATAAAGGAAGCCACTCATCAGTAATTTTCTTCACTAGCAACTGACGCATTGCGCAACTTGATCTAGCCCAAAAATTAAAAGAATTATCTGATCAGCTTATGACAAGTCAAATCTGGAACCGTTTTCACCAGCATAAAGATTCTCCAAATATTGTAAATACTTTGCAGACTACGAGTAAATTTATAAAATACGCAAGTGATATAAAAAAAAAGATTTCTCTACGTAAATAATATTCATCAAACGGAATGAAGGAGGCAAAAGATCTGTCGAAACTGTAAATAACCATCTCTTTCGTACACTTTTCTACTCAAAACAAATCTACTGCCTTAAACCGCGTTTCTTTCCAGTCCGAAAAAAAAAATCAGTTCCCAAAAAATACATAAATAGAGAAACTTACCTTTTCCATGCGAGGGAGTTTATTCGCAAACCCGGGAAATAGCGGGGAGTCATTCATGCCTTCCTTATCGACATCATTCGTGCCATTTTCCGTGCTGGCAAGCGTCGTATTCGACGCTGACGAATCGTAATTCGCCGATATGTGTGAGATCGTTGGGCTGACAATCTGCGCATAGCTCAGATTCCGCAGAGACGATCGCCTCATCAGAGCCAACAGTTGGTTTTCAGTTAATGGACCAGGGTTCGATATGCAAGGTCTAAACAGAATAAAATAATTCATTATTTCATTTTCTACACATGATTTCATTTTCCGTCATATCACTTGAGCTTCTCAAGCTTTCATATAGAAAAAACCTACTGAACCAAAACACGCAGTCATTTGTCAAAAAATGAGAGCTGCTAAAAAATCACCCCGTTTCATAATGTGAACCAAAATTATACCATTCCTCAAAAAATGTCCTCAACTTCATAAATCATGACATGAAAAAAGCTTTCTCCAGTCTAAGCACACCAGTGAGCAGTACTAAAAGTACTCACGGAAACACAATCCTCACATTGGTTGGATTGCTTTTCATTTTTTTTGTCACATAAGTTTTTCCCGAACCCGAAGAGGAGAAACGAAGGAAAATACAAAACAAGTTAATAGTGCTGGTCTAAAAAGTGATGATCTAAAATCTCAAAATACTCTCGTACTGTACACCATCAGCCTTAAAAATATTTTTATGCTGTTTAAGCGAATGATAATTGGAGTCAAACACGGGTTCATTATTGGTATTACACAGTGGCAGCAACGTTTCTAGGAGAAACGAATGTATGAGATCATCAAGATTAAATTCACACGAGTGCTGTCACGCATGGCCATCCAAATGCAGTTTTGCCAGTTTTTTTTTTTTTTTAAATTCAACAACAACAAAAAAAGGATATAAACCTGTAATAGGGCCTCGTTGGCGGAATCGGGGAGTGAGATCGTCCGCGCAGGATAGGCGGCGGGCCGCCAAGCAGGTCCGCCTCCAAATCTTCAGGCAGGGATTTTTCCCCGATCGCGTGATCAATGCACTGATCAATCAACTTCCGCAGGTCCTCGAACTCGTCGTCCGTGAGTGTGGCCAGGTTTTGAGGGTCACACGCGTACGTAAGGAAGTTGAGGCCCTGGCTGGCCCAGCGCGGGCGGAGTCCTCGGCCCCGCTCGCACCAGTCCAGCACGAACCGCATCCAGTTCCTGGCCAGGTCAACCATTCCTCGCCCGATCCGAGAGTCGGCCCTCAGCCGTCCCGTCAGCAACTTTTTCACCTTTCGAAAAACATGAATAAATTAAGTCAGGACTATTGATTTAAAATCAATTGATCACCCACACACCTTTTTATGATACTCAAACGCAAAATTGTAGCCCTGGTGCAGAATTTCTCGGGCTCGCGCCATCACGGCGGTCCGGTCGCTTTCTTCGATTGTTTTAACTAAAAAAAAAAAAAAAAACGGAACGAAATGAGTTCATGATGGTTCGAACACGAAACCAATTCGAAGCTTCCTGGAACGTCGAATAGATGTCCCCACGAAATGATCAGCTCGATTTAAACAAAAACGATGTGCGCCTATTTTAAACCAAAAGGATCCTAAACTAATTCTAAAAGAAACCTGACGAACACGACATTGACATAGTACATATACAACACCCAAAATGAGACTACTTCTGAAAAGATTTTAGCGACACCTATACAACATAAAAAAATGTCCAGGCACGGAAACATCTTCCAGGACTCACCGATGGCGAGTTTTTCAGTCACACTCGCGATTGAATGATCAATCTTGTCTCTCAAGTACAGGGCCTCGTACTTGAGATCATACACAGAGTCTGCAATGTCACAATGTGGCGAAACTTGGTCACGAAACACGGAAACGTACTCTTGCCCTCCGATCAATGACTGGAACAATTCCCGCTGTTCCAGCAAATGACTGGAATGGTTGACTACCAACAGCAGTCCTTGTACTTCCAGACGCGACAAAGCAATCGCGTTATCTGCTGTGGGTTTCACCTGCGTTTTAGAAAAAGGAGAAAAAATTATCACCGTTCAATTTCTTGAAGATAGGACGTTTTTCTATCCGAAATCCCGTTAATGTACGTTATATACTATTCAAATTTAATTGCGTCCAAAAAGCTGCGCAAATAATTTATGCAGCAGCTATTTCAGCTCTTAATTATGTTCTAATCGGATAATTTTCTCTGCAGCTTTTTTGAATGAAACACAATGAATGATACGACGAAATCACGAATAAATGACCATTTTTTTGATTTTAAAGAATTGTTTTCCGCTGGCAGTTGGTCTTCTTTTGCTAGAATTAATTTTCTGGACACCTTCAAGCGCCAAAATGTACCTTGATGGTCCTCGAGGCCCAGAAATCGTCAATGTCCTGTTTGCGATACCCGTCAACTTCGGAAGTGGCCATGACCAACAGGTATTTCCCTTCGCAGGAATTGTGCACACCTTCGACATTGTCATCGTTGTCTTCGTCTTCTTTCTCCTCTTCGTACTCGGGATCATCGTGTCCAAGAGTCATATCCATAAGCTTGAGGATATACGTGAGATTGTTCTCCAAGGACCGAGGAACGAGCAACAGCTGGTTTTCCGAATGCGGAGCGAGGACTCGGATGTGTTCGGTGTCGCGGAGCTGACGCAACAAATCTGTCGGTTTGGCCTAGATAAAGAAATCGTCACATTTTTTTTATTTATTTCAAAGGAATGCAACCATTATATACTGGGAAATAGTGTACTATATGCATCAGCCAACATAGCGATAACGCGCAATTTAACCTTCCAGCAGAAATCCCATCGAAAGATGAATACTGTATTCCTTTCTTTGAATTGAAAATTGTTTGAAATAGCGTCATTGAGTATTATACTCTAATATGAAAAAATTGGTGTCTCATATATTGTGCAGTTTATAATTTGTAACGAGATGAATGTAAGTCAGCTGATGTGGTTACATAGATGCCACTGCATGGCAGTTAACTTCCGATGAAGGTTCACCGAAAATTAATGAGAGGAGTGCTTTTTTCTTAGAACACATTTAAAGTTCGAAACAAAATTTAAAGCTTCCTTAACTTTAAATGCACTTGATTATGACCCTGGCTCGTCTGAAAATTTAAATTAACATCATTTTCTCGCTGCAAAGAACACTCTAAGCCTGAAAAATCAAATCATTGAATGTGTTGAAATTGTCTAATTACCTGGATTTTGTACTCAGTTGCGATTTCAAGATCTTTCCGAAGAATTCTCGCGAACAGCACAGCTTTCAGCGCCTTCTCTCGAGCTTCCCGGAATATCACCTGAAATTTAGGATGACCGTGAGCATGAAAAACTTAATTTATCAATTAAAAGCCTAATTAATGAGTCAGATGAAGATTTTGATGCCTCACTTGAAATTTGCGACAAGAATGCAGAATTTGTTGTTTCGAGGTCAGCAATTTCCCGCTCGTGTCGTCCTCGTCGTTCCCATCCGCAGCACTGCCATCATCATCGTCGTCATCGACGTTACTCGACGGCCGATCAGCACATGAGGAAACTCTTCTCATCAATCGCACGTCATCTTCTTGCAACGTCCTCGAATTCCGCCGGTCCTTCACACTAACATTATCTTCCACAGCGTCTTCATACACGGAATACGAATCGTTGTCGGATTCTGAGTAATTCTCCTTCTCGTCCTCCCGGTGCTCGTCTTCCTCCTCCAACTCCTCCTCTTCTTCTTCTTCGATCTCTTCTTCATCGCCGTCATCGTCTTCATTATCGTCATCATCTTCGTCGTCGGCGGATGAAGACGAACTCGTTTCGCGAAGACGGTTCACTGTGGCGATGTCGGGATTCTCGTCGTCACCGTCCTCGTTTCCGGCAGGAACTGACGCGTCATACAAAGCGGAAGTGCACTCGTTGAATCCTTGCTCCAGTCCTTCCCCAACGGCATCCAAGACATTCGACGCGAGGAAACAAAACCTAATTGAAAAAATATCAATAAGTACTGTACAGTACATCCATTTCGAATAATGAACTCGATCTGCTTCAATATTCATCGATTGTAAGACGCACATAAACTTTTATCCTAAAAAATGCATCCTATATTACTTTCGGCATGGAATTCCATTCAAATCTTCCTTGAAAATTATTAATAAAAAATTACCAGTTTCGAAGACTTTCAAGTTGAATTTTCGGCTTTTCGCGGAGATTAGGCTGATAACTGAAGCTTAAGCAGAAAAAAATCGGACTTCTCGGATGAAGAAGAAATTAAACACAATGAGACAGCGGACGTTCGTTTCATTGAATCAAACGATTAGTGCCAATTTACTTATCCTTTAGCTTTAAAGGATAAAATACCGTATTCTTTTCTGGAGAAAAGAAAAAAGCGGATTACAGTGCTGTATGTGAAGCAAAAAAAAAATAAGAACCTTCGAGCAGCGACGCTTTCTCCACCACGAATGTGCGAGCAGTTCTTGCGCACAAATGCCCATTCTTCGTCCAGCAAGCTCTTTTCTTGCCCGGTTCCCCCTTTTCTTCCGCCTAATCCTCCTCCGGATTTATCCCTCAGCAATAACAACACCCATTGGCACAAATAGTCCAAGTAATAGATGAGGATCCTCTTCGCGTGAGCATCGAATCGCTCGATCTCCTGCAAAAATGTTCTCAGTTTAAGCTTTGTCGACTCTATATACAGTACATAAAGGTTACAGTCGAACTTCAAAGGACCAACAAACTAATTCGATTGAAGATTTGAAGGAGGTCTTGAGTCAACAGGGGAACAGATATTTTTTGCTGAAAATAAACATGAATAATAAAAAAAAAACTAAAAGGCGTGATTTTTTTCGGCCTCACGAACTGCAGAATAAATGAGTAGCATGCTGAAGTTGGAGGCAAGAGTTTTTGTCCAATTAGCCCACCACTTCTTTCAAAACGTATCAAGTTGCACATATATTGCTTTTCTCGTTTTTGCGTCAATTAAATAATAGCCAAAAGGCTTCCAGGAAATTCGACTTCCAAAAGAATAAATAACAGACTTTGAGCGCGAATCTCTTAAAAGTTATTTTGAGCAAAGCTGATATGCTTATATGCTCAGGGTGGAAAAACTGCTGATTTAAAGTGTGAGCAAATCGTTGACGTTTTTTCGAATCCAAGATTCTCTGAAACAAAAGCCCCTTTCAGATATGCATGCAAACCGGATACATCTTTTTTATTTGCAATTCCCGAACGAAGCGTAAAATCCGGCTCCAACCTGGATATGAAAATCAATATCAGCGTCGGAAGCGTCCAAATATGCCGGTGTAGCAAAGTGGAGGAACCTCTGGCGAATCATAACAGCTCCCGAAATCGTCTCCTTGCACTCGTACAACAATTGCCTCAGGGACAAGGGACTTGGTGGCTTTTGCGGCTGGTGATCCAACTTGGACGACAAGCACTCGTACATGATGTCAAGCGGGATCCTACACAAGAATAAATACACTGGCTTGAAGCTCGGGAGTCCCAGGGACGAGATGGACAGGGGCTGGCCCAGTGCATTCTCCATTCCGTCGCTAGATGGCACTGTATTCATGCCGGATTCCGGTGTGCCGAATCCCATGAGCACCTGAGGCGAACTCGGACTGGTCGACAACCCTGCGAACTGTCAACATAAAACACACATGATCAAAATAAATAGATATATAAAATTAAAATCGCCCATGATACGATTTCAATTAAGGAAATCGAGCAACATCAAACCGAAGCAGCCCAAGCAATCCCCTCCATTAAACCATTCAGCATAGGACATAACAGTATGTAAAAACCATTTGGGTTATTTTTCGCGGGGATTAGTTCGTGGTTCTTTTCGCTTCAACGCCAAACCTCCCCTCTCGATTACCAGACAGGTGTCGCTCAAACAAATAAAGGTAACCCAACGAAGCTGAAAAATTAAAATTTGAATAGGACTGCAACATACTGTATATCCTGCCCTAATCTAAAAAAAAAAAAATGACCAGACGTAATTCAATCTAACCTGACATAGACGAAAAGAAGCTTTTTTAAAGACAGGTGACACCTGCGCAAGGAAATACTGTTTTGTATGAACCTCGTAAGGCGTTGCAGAGAAAAGAACCTTTTCACGTCCGAGTTTCCCAACCATTTTTGTTTTGTTTGAACTCACATCAGAGCTATTTCCAGAATACAGTAAAGGTACCGTGTAGAATATTTCTAATATAGCATTTGTTCTATTTCAGAAAAATTTGATTTAAAATCGTATTCTTTCGTTCTTCCGGAGACGTTGTGAAACAGAGGTTGAGAACCTCCGCATTCACTGCATGATCATTTTTTTCCCGTGAGGCTTTGGTAAAATGAACTTAGTTTTTCCGAAAAAAATTCAGGTTTCTTTTAGGATCAGAAAAGACTTGAATTATGAATTTTGCATCGCAAAAACGAGAACATTCTGGTGCGCATACCATGCAAAAAAATACAAAAGGAAGCATAAGGGTTATTCGGAGGAGGGGGAAAAACCCTGAAATGTCCTTAAAAACAAGCAAAGAAATTAATTGAAAAAAAAAAACAAAAACAAAAGCGAGCCACTATAGCAAAAATATTAGTTTTGTTCTTTCGTCAAAATAAAACAAAAACACGGGAGCCAGACCTGGAGTTGGCAATCCGGAGAGTCCATCATCAGGAGCTTCACAAAATAAAAAGAAAAAATCAATTTTGCTAGCTTTTCTACTAGCTCTTATTTTCTTTGTCTTTTTTTTTTTTTTTTTACAAAGCAATGCTTACGAATTTCTTCTTTTTTAAATCATCCGTCAAAAAGTACAGCTCAAAAACCAAAGTTCGTAGTACGGATTTATAGGAATAAAGGCGATGAACAAGTTTGGGCGAAAAGAAGGAACTTTTTTTTTGGCAAACAGTAGCAAGAAAACTGAAAGAAACGACGGATGATGAATGGCAGCATTATTTAACCAGATATCGAACTTGAAACGCGGGTGAAAAAATAAAGCACGGAATTTGTCTTCACATCACTTATTCCTCTGCTGCTCACCGAATTCTCCCTTGAATAAGCGTGGATATCGACGGCGCTGAAGTTGATATCGTGAGGCAGGGCATCATAAACTTTGCCCAGTGAATCCTGGAAAATCTTGCGCAGCTGGTCCAAAGTTTTCCTCTGGCCCAGGGTCTTCAGTAATTTCTCTACGTACGGTCTATAGGGACTGTGTGACTCGGAATGCAGCATGAGACTAGAGTCACTGAGTTTCCGAGAGCTCATCTGGATAGACTTGTTGGATGTGGAGCTCAACAGGGCCACAGCAGCTTCTTTCAGGCCCTTCGGAGTAGAGCCCAGTGGACAGAAGCCCCCTGGCGGCGGCGGCAAGGGTTCTTCCACAACCTGTCGTACATGTACACACAAATTTAATTAAAATGGGAGATTTCTCAAAAATTCAAAACACAGCACAGTCACTTTCAAGGGATCAGTAAAAAATTCAAGTCAGAAAAACGAGGCATTATTGCCATGAGAGAGAAAGAAGAATTACAGGAATTTTAATTGATGATATTCCGGACCCTAAATTGCTTCTTCAATGAGTTGGCAGGATGATAATTTAGCGTTTCTGAAGTCGCAAGAGTTAAATTGGAGAAATATCTAGAAAACTTGAAGTACCGGTAATAGCTTTTTGAAATTCCGTTTCAGAAAATAGTGTCTTGGACATCAATTTTGAAAAAATCCATCAGCGATGCAGGTGAGGGGTGAGGGGGTGGGGAAACCTTCCAATTAGACCACAATGCATTAAAAACCCCTTCAAGTGAATTCAGACAGGGACTAGAAAAAAAATCAACATAGGGACGCTTAAGTAATCAACGAGGTACAATAACTGTACTGTATACTGAAAGGAAAAAAAATCTTTTATACACACCTCTTGCGATTCGTTGACAGATGTCTCAGCAGTCCCAGAGCCACTGTGCAATTCCCCGAGGGAAAACCGCACTTTCGGCGACGAGCGGACGATGCTCGCGATGCGCACCTCATGCGCGAGCCTAGATGTCGCCCCCAAGTTCAAGTCCGGCCACGGGACTTCCGTTGGACCGAGTCCTACAAACAACGTCCGGCCCAAGAGCCCAATTTTAACCCTGAGGCCGATCGTGATATTGTACCACATGCACACGAGCTTGAGTTTCGATAGGAAAACAGGATGCCGGTAGATGGGGTGAGAGTCTGCGAGACTTCTGCCGGATGGATACAAATGCTCCACCCAGTCGAGCTTGTCCAGCAGGGCTTTCACTTTCTCCAAAGCGTAGTTAGTGTTGGCAATGCAGTCCCTAAAATGAAGCACATTCCATTATTTTTCAATTGAAAACTCCAGAAATAAGGAACATTCCTACAAAATCAATTTTAATCTTTAAAGAAAAAGTATACAGTATATACAAACTAATAAGCTTACTCCATCAGTATAACAGCAACAGCACTTCCTTTAAACACATTTCTTTTTTTAGAAATTTTTACTCTCATACGTTAACTGTGCTGGTCACTTTAAGAAAAAACTTACGCTTCAAAATAAGTCGCTAATTATAGAAAGACAAGTTTGATACTGTGATTAACGTTGAATATTTCAAAATACTTTTGTAATCGCAAAAAGACAATTTGGGCACTTCATCCAGACTTCACGCGAATTCAAATGGTACATAGTTTCAATTTTCCAGAGAATATTGTTGTCGAGGCCAAAATAAGGAAACGGTGTTTGTGAGTGCTTATGGCAATAAAAATAAAATCGACGACTTGAAACTTTTTTTAAAATGGGTGTTGAGAAGTTATTCATTGCTCACACATACTGTATATACTCACTTGCAATACAAGCTGAGACATCCAGGACAAGGGTCAAGATCGATATAAGAATCTCTGCTTTTGCTGCATTCCGTTCCTCTACTGCTGCTGGCACAAGGACTCAATCGAGGATTCGGGGAGCCGCCGTTTGCCCTGTCCGATTCTGCGTAGCCATCACTCACATAACCAGAACTCTGACGGTCAAAATTTGGCGGAGATGGAGACGGCGATTCAGTTCTCAGCCGCTTCCTTTCATACTTGAACTCCATAAACGTTTCCAAAATCGAGTCCACCTTGAAGAACAAAAGTATTAAGCACTGGGAACACCAATAGAATCGAAAACTTCAAGTTGGAGAAACAAAACAAAAATGACTTTCCCATGCCGGGAATTGAACCCGGGCCTCCTGGGTGAGAGCCAGGTATCCTAGCCACTAGACCACATGGGAGACTTAGTACTTGCTCAGAAAATAATCTGGCTTGATTGCAGTACTTATTATTCTCGGTACTGTACAGTACACATTATCTGATCTCTTTGCCTTTAATTTACAAAATTGAATCAAGCTCAAGCAGACATGTCGAACCTTGGCCCTGTTGGTTTCCATGTACTCAAACTGCTCCATTAGCGTGCGTCCATTTTGCCAGGCCTGCAGCTCTAACCAAAGAACACTGTCTTCTTCAGTAGTCAACCGCTCAACCTTCTCTTCAATTTCATGCGTGTCCACGTCATGCTTTGCCCCGCGAGACGCCAACTGTTGAATCCAGACACAAAAAAAAAAACAACGTGGCATTAAGTAATCTGCTAATATAAACTTTTATTATTTTTTTCAGCAGATTCAAATCCAGCCGAGGAAAACAAGCCCTTGATCCCCGGGGCAAAAAAAGCAGGTCAAAATAAGACTTTCTGATTTGCAGACGTCACATTTCGTGCCGCATTTCGCAGCGAGGGCATTAGGAAAGCGTGTCAGTTTCAGCGAGAGACGTCATTAATTCTGCTTTTACCCCCGGGGATGAAGATGAGGAGAGGGGAAACAGATCACAGGAAGTGACCCTCCTTTTTCGAATTCCCGAAACCGGGCGTAGGCGGAACAAGAACCACGCGGCTCTTCGGTGATGGATGAAAAGCCCGGGCAAAGCGGCGTTGGGTCAAGTGAGCGTCGCGACCAACTGCGCGCCACAAGGACAACTGATGATGAGCACCAGCTAAACGAGCTCACTGTCTTTTTTTTCATTTTCACTCAATTGACAACGTGCCGTCCTACTGAAAAAAAAAATCCGCGAAAAATTGACAAACCTTGTTCACTCGAGCAAGACGCGCACCTGGTTTTCTGGCACTAAAATTTCGATAAAATCCCATCCCCGAATATAACGCGAACCCCATATCAATTTATTCGTGAAAAAAGTGCCGAAGTTTTGAAAACACAATGCATCCGAATGGAAATTGTAACGTTGAATTGACCCAAATATAGGATTATTTTTCCATTGCTTCCATTGGCAATATGCCCTATTGCATATACGCTGATATTTCCCCGGCGCTCATTTGGGCGTCGCTCAGTTGCAAAGGAACTTAGCAATACCAGAAGAAGATCCCTCTCCTCATCTTACCAGTAATCCCATTGAAGATAGCGTCGTTGCCCAAGCTCAAGTTCGTCTCGCAGCCCCTCAAAAGCGCCCTTACATTAAAACGTTCCCAGTAATTATTGTAATTACTGGACTTGGCGATAACACGAACGAACACAGATGAGAGATTGCTTTTGATATGGCTTGGGTCCAACAAGTTCACGTGCAGCGGAAAAGTAAGTTTGCACTCGCAACACATAAGAAGAAATTCATCACAAATTGGTGAATTTGTAAGAAAATAATCAGAATTGATTTCTTGAAGCTGAAAAATTGCTACCTGTATCATCATTAATTGAATCGGAATAATTCAACATAAACCGAAAAAGGCCTTGCATGCTACATTTCTATGTTGAACATATATGCAAGTTTGAGAAACACAAAAGCGGATGGAACTTCGGATGATTCAGGGTGAATTCCAATGATACGACGAATACTAGCGACACCTTCTCTCACTAAAAGAAAATTCACTCATGATGGGACAAATTTAGAAAAGACATGAAGAAAATCTTGCTAGAAGTTTTTTTTAAATACATTTCCCCTTGATATAAAGCATTTAAATTAATATGGCACCGATCAACCCTAAAATTTCCGCACAATTAACCTTCTTTCGCTAAAATAGATAAAAAAATGAATTGCATTCATTTTTACAGAAAAATAAAGGAACGGCATATTCGAGTGTATCCAATATTGGAATAACTTCGGAGTTCCTCAAGTTTGTTTTGAAAAAATTGCTTCAATTAAGCAGCGAAAATTCCACGAAGTACGTCTTCATAATTTTGCATAAATAATAAAATCACGTCAGCGCATCCTTTGCTACTGTAGCATTGATCAATTCCGCAATGCGAAAATGCACAAGCAGTAGACATTTGCAATGACGCATTTTTGACGAGTATGCGTGATTATTACAATTGCGACTGCCAACAACGACATCTAACTACGCCTAAGCAAGATGGCACTGCAATGGACGAATAATAATAATAATAATAATTTATCCAACACAAATTACAAATTTCTTACTAAACCAGGCATTTTCTAAGCATTCCATACTAGCTTTCAAAAACATCAGAATTTCGGGACAGATGTCGCCAATACAATGA